GTTTGCTTACAGAGCTATCAAATAGAAAATCAGACCCCTACTGCCACACATCCTCTCTTTCACAATTCCTTGATAGTTCTCTCTTGCGTTTCATTATATTTTACCTATAACCAATAGAAAGTCAAGGTTTTCATCTATCAAATGACGTATTGTATAAGGTTATATTCTTAACAGAATATCATAAATTTTACTTGCAGTACAAGATTCGTTCCTGTATGAAACTTAACGATTAGCTTGGATGAATTTGTAATGGCTCTTGTCGCATAGTTAGAAAGCCAGGAAAATTTTGAGAGTTAAGTGAATTTGTCTACTTTTTGCACGTTATTAGTCAATATTCTTTGGTGCTATATTTAATCAAATAAAAATTTTTAAGTGCTTTAATATAATTACTATAAAAAATCAGACTTAACTGTCCTCAACAATTGAGAGCAAGAAAAACGAAGATTGGGTAAGTACTTTATTTCTTGTTTTTCATATTTAGTCTTTATTTATAATTATAAAAGTAACTAAAATCTATAAATATGGATCTTTCTAAGTTATTTAAGACTAAATTAGGTAAAATAAGTAATAATAATAATAATCTAATTAAAATAGTTCATGAGGCACACACGTGAGCAGCTCATGGGTAATGTAATTCAATAGTATAACACGAGCTGGACTTTCCCCGAGTGATTTACAACTTATAATGGTACAAATATTAGTTAGACACGGTTCAAAGGGCAATAAAACAATAAAATTTAATTATAAATAGATGTATACTGTTACGAACTTAGAGCTACTTAGGATAAATGAATATAGTTTCATGTTACAATTTGAAGTCATTTTAGAAAGAAAAAAGGATAATTTATGTTTATTTTGGTTTTTTTTTTCTGATGGTTACAAGGTTGATCGAATTGACTCATCCTGTTTTGAGATAGATTAGAGAAAATAACAGATAAACTATAAAGTTTTACTGAAAAAAAATCGTTTGAAATGCGTTAAGGAGGTTTCAGGGATTACACAAAGGAAATTTAAGATGAGGAAAGTACTTGTATTTTAACATGAAAATTACTTTGCACATGGATTATTCAAAACAAATACTCAATATATTCATAGACAAATCTTTATTTTATTTCATTACAAATTCTTCACTAAAAATATGTTTTTTTGTATGTGAAAGACTTGTAATATAACTGAAAGACTGCAAAATTTCTTGAAGATATACACACTGTACTGAGAGTAGTAATTATTAAATGTATAAAAAGTTTAAACAAGTACAAAAAGGTCACGTGGCCATTCAAATTGACTGAGCCCGTATTGAGAGAGTTAATATACTGTATAACTGTATATGAAAGAACTTTTTATTGCTTGTTCTTAAATATATTTAATGATTTTTCTTTAGATTTATATGTACTTACACAGTTGTATATACTGTAGAGTACCACAAAAATGCATCATTCATACAAGTAGGTAATTCGTACATGCAAACACATTTTACAAATACATACACACATCTTTCTCTCAATCTCTCTCTTACAATTTCTACCAAATGCTTTCAAAATATTTCACAAGGATACAGCTATGAAATATCTGCATCATGACAATCTGTGTATCATAAATGGCTTAACCGGATTATTGCACATTATACTTAGTTGATTCAAACTTTAATCAAATTTGAACAGAGATTACTACGAAATCAGAGTAATGACTTGTATTTCTTTTTCAGGAAGAGAAGAAAATATTAGAAGCAGAACATGTGTTTGTATTAATGAAAAAGGAATATCGTATATCTCGCAACATTCGAGCCCAGTGGTATTTTGGTCATTTAAACAAAACAATTAATGTTTTACCAAGGAAGAATTTGGTAAGTTTCACTCTTTTTTTTAATGTTTCATGTACACAAGTCTGGTATGAATAACTTTAGTGAAATACTTGCAAAGGTGGAAAGATTTGTGTGAGTCAGAAAAAGTCAACAATTCATTATACATGATTTACAAATGTTATGCATACATTGTATAGTTGCTTTTGCTTATTAACACTGGTAATTGATGTATGTATGTATGAATTTTTTGTAATCTGTAATTTTTTTCTAAAGAAAAACACCCACTTCACATATTAGTGTAAGCACTTTTCCATTTGAAATGCATTTTTGTATTGTGTGCTGTGATAATTCCAGATTGAAGAGTTTCTAAACTTAAACTTGCATATTGTAAGTTAATGAGATGTAAAATATTTGCTGTATTGAATGTACAATTAAATCAGTTACCAAATATATTGCAATCAATTAGCATGTTAAGAAATTTGCCCTCAACCAGGCTTGAACATACTCAAACATATATTTACTGTATCAGGCCAACTGCTGGGTCAGGTGATTTGCTTCACCGTCTACTCAGTTCAAATGTCCTTAGGGTATGGGCACCAGTATAATTTAACAGAAGTTATGAAATCTACCCTGACCATGACTTCATATCCATAAGAAGGGTTTCAGTATAAGGTAACATGAGTTATAGAATATATCCTGACATTGACTTGACAATCACAAGGTGGATATCAATAAGTGGTAACAAGAATTATCATATCTATCCTGACCATGACTTGAACCCAATTTCAAAGATCATGTTAGTGCTGTGAGATGAAATTTCCATCAACTGAGCTATTAAGGCTAAAGTCCAATAAAATAACTATGATTCAGGTCATTACAGTAAGATTGTTTTTGATTTGACTAACTTGTACAGATTACTCTCTAGAGTACATAGAGCTGATTTGTACTTGAGCTTGGTATCAACAATACACATTTTTCTGTCCTATGCAAGTTTTCAGTGTGTTTCTCATTAAATGTTTACTTTAAATTGTGCAACAAAACTGTAAGGGCACAAATAATATCAAATTTATTTGTTAAATCTGAAGAAAATGTTACAGCAATAATTAACACTTGACTCCTGTGCCATTTCAGAATTTTGCAATTGGTGAAATATTACTTTTTCTTGCTTTCATTTAAGGCACACTGCTTGCGTAAAGGCTAAAATTTTATGCTTGACCAAGAGTGTTTAAGTTCAACCAGTCTTATTTGTATCATGGTTGGCTTCAGACTTAGTTACAGTAATGACTATTGCCAAGTATATAAAAAAGGCACTACTGATATATGGTTGCAGCTATTCTAAATGTTGTAATTACACTATATTTTTGTTTCTGAACAGACGTAAACACTAACATCATATATAAAAGAGCAATTTAATACTTCATATATATATAGAGAGAAATAATCAGTCAAGAAGAGGCTAAAATATTATTCTTGTTGAGAAGGCAAAACACAGTAAACAAAGCGGTAAAAATATGTGGATACATCACTTTATACAGAGTTATCTGAACTACAGATTGTAAATAACTTTCACAATAGGATATATTAAAGTTATTAATATATTGTAAACATTTTTTCCACTTCAACACCCTGTAAAATTAAGTAACAATGTTGTTGAAATGGTGACAGCACAACCTAATCAACAATACTTTTAATATTTTTCATACTTCTTTGATTAAATTAAAACATATATATAGTAAAACTCATTGTTATTTAAATAATTATGGAGCATTAATTAATTAAATGTTATTTTTACTATTCAAATCAGGTGATTAAAAAAAAAGTTGCTGAAATGTTTTATTTGTATAATAAAACTAAACAACAACAACAAAAAACTAGCCAATTAGAATAAAGGTAACAGCCACATAAAGATGTGATATTATAAAAAAATAAAAAAAGAGAGAGAGAGAGAGAGAGAGAGAAAGCAAAATCTTATAAAATGGAAACCTCTGTAGGCATGTAATCTATATAAAGTTAAGTTATATAAAGATGTAATGCTATAATGGCTAAGTTAAACAAGAAAATTCAATCAAATTTGTTTCTCCTTTCTTTTACTTATGTTGCTACTATTTTCTGTTGCAATGAAAAAAGGAAAGGCCAAATTTGATGTAGTTGTGTCTTATTTAACTTAACCATTAGAATTTTTACTGTGACAGTGGTGTTGAGAAACAACACTCATCTGTTCTTACATGTGAAATGTAATATACTTTTTGGAGTTCTTTATTAGACCTTCTAGGTGAGTTTGGTGATTTAATCAGTTACTTATGAGCAGTGATTACATTGATTAGAGTTACACGTAAATTATCAAAATTAGTAATTATCCAATTATTCCAACAGCTCTTTAACCAAAATTTCAATTACATTGATTGTCACTAAAATAACTGATCCGAGTTATTGTTTCCAGTTAGTGTTTTTGCTTATTCCAACAGTCAACTAACTGAAATTAACGTTTCAAATTGTAACTATTTTTGATTATTCCACTGTTAAAGTAATTGAAATATTGCCACCAAACTTGCTCAACCTCTCTTTGTAATGCAAAGCTACTAGGGATATGTGCCACTGTTACTAATTTTGAACTTTTGACTAGAGGGAAAGCAACTGGCTGGTAGGCAGTGCTTACTACCATCTTTTTTTTTTTCTATTTTGAAACTGCTGACCAGTGGGAAAGCAACTGTGTGACAGCACCTACTGCCAGCTTTTTTTGTTGTTTCTGTTGAACTGCCTACTAGAGGGAAAGCAACTAGTTGGCTGCACCTGCTGCCAATTTTTTATTTTTTTTTGTCTGGAGGTATCTTGGTTTGATGAGCATTATACTAACCAATTAATCAAAGGTAATCGAGTAATGGGGCTGTTGATTGATTAATTAGCAAATGCCACAAATAGCCCAGGTCTTCTTCCCAATGAAACATATAAAAACCTGTAAAAAGTTATTTTTGTTCTTATCCGGTATTTCCTTTATTCTAACAGCAAATTAGACAAATCTTGAACCTATAAATTTCATTACCACAAAAGGTTTGATACTGTAGTCATAATACTATAATTATCCAATACAGATCATTAGAAATATAACAATGTTGAAGCACTTTTGATGTGGGGGGGTAGTAATTCAGACTTCATTATCTTGATCAGATTTTACATAGTAAATTTCTTTCAGAAATGCTACTCAACTCTTAATGGAACAGACAGCTGTTACCTTAAACATTATTACAGCTTTCCTTTAGTTAACTTTGGAATACTGATTTTATGACTAACATTTTACGATTGGAAACTCTGGTTATATTTGTCTTACCAGTTAGGAAGCCAGAAATGTTGAAGTTTTATACTCCATGTAAATTCGAGACAGCTTAGTTTGCTATGTGGTCATTAGCCGATCAAGTGATATGTCCACTTCCATCCCTATCTTGTTTGGTTCCTTTTTTCAAGTTCAGTAGCGAGCCCTACATTGTTTTTATTAGTTAGCAATGTTTTTTTTCCTTATACTTGCTTTTTTACTCTTTTTACAAAAAAAAAAATATGTAGTATATCAAGCTCATGCATTGTGTATGTAACACAGTAGCCTAGTTTTCAGAATATTTTTGAAACCACCAGTTATACATTTTTTGGAATATTTTTATTATGCATATTTTTTGAAAAAAAATAAATTTCTTCTGTGTAAAGAGAGAAACTGAATCCTTAGCTCCAGCTCTCCTATTGGCTATCTGCTGAACAAGGAGAAGCACATAAGTGATATTCTAAAAAGTACATCAACCTTGGCAAGTGAATTCAATGATAATTTTGTATTTTTTAACCCCACCTAGTTTGATGTTATACAGTTGTTTACTTCCTTATTTGATAGCATTGGTCCTGTTTGTATTCCAGTCATCTTGACAGGTTGGAAAACATCAAAGTTAACATTGCATAAAGTACCCAGATTGTATAATGTGGATCATTTGATTTTCATTATCATATTTAGTATAAATGCACAGGTATATATTTAAAGATTTTCACTTTGGTTATTCGTGGGTCCTTGAAATGTTTCAATTATTTAATTGTTGGGCTTTATTGATGGTTAGGTGACATTAACAGTTTAATTAGGAAATGCATACTTTAACCTATAACAAAAAGTTAAAAGTGTGAGCATTGTTATTGGTCATATTTTTTACCAACATTATATGCTAGATAGTTGGGACATTTGATTAAAGCAATGCAGTTACTAAAGGTACCCTGTGCTTCACCATAATGGTCTGCTCCAGTGCGCAGGAGGAGCTGCTACTTATAACGTTTTACTGTTGTTTTTTAATATACAACTTTGAAGTAATGAACATTATACAAATGAAAATATAGAATTTTCCATATGAGATACATTTAATGTGTGATTGATATTTAAACATTTTCAAATGATGTCTATCATCAAGAAACAACAACAACAACAACAAAATCTAACACCTCTTGAATGCTATCTAATGAACCTTTGAATTTCAAATGCAGCCCTATTGCAGCCCTATTGCCACCTAAAATCATTGTTTATTATTGCAGAAGAGTATAAGGGTAAAATATTTGTTTTACATAGTTATTTACATTTAATATGACAATATTTTTCACAAAATAGAACAAAACTAGTTATTTTGACTATGAGTATTTGTAGACTTAAAAATTCCAAGATTCTTAAATTTGTGCAGTAACATACTTTTTTTTCAAGAGGAATTCAAAGTCAAACTTTTATGTGTGTGTGTGTATATGTACGTATGTAAACTATAATAAAGGTTAGCAATATTTCTTTCACCTATAAATGGCAGTCTATGAAACTTGTGTATTCAAATTTCAAAGTTATTATCACCTTAGAAATAGTGGACTTGTAAATCCAATTATTTTTTATTAAATTAAATTTTGATTGAAAATAATTTTACATTGGGATGTCTATTTTCTTGATTTGAATATGTGAAAAGCATCTATATTTAGAGGAAAACATAAAACCCATAGTACACTATACTGTTGTGGTATTTTCTGTTGAGATTTCCCAACAAGTA